TTACAGGTTCCACCCAAAAGACAACCACGGTACCGCCGAAAACAACTCGATCTCCCAAACCAACAAGACCACCAACAACGACAAGTAAGTAGTAACTAAATTAAATAAAATAAGCCATAAAGTAGAATGGTAAGAAAAATAAAAGTTCTAAACCTTCATCATCATCATCATGACCAGCGCACTACATGTCCCCACCGAGGGGCTCGGAGCCTACCCTAATAAGGGGTGACTAGGCTTTAGTCAAACTAAACTTCTAAACCTTATTTTCTAAAAAATATACGAAGGTTAATGCTCTTATAATCCCTTGCAGCAACATCAAGTAGTTCGGGAATACAAGAAGATAGTCTCTGTGGTGAGAATCAAATGTACGCGCCGGCGTCCACGTGCGACGCGTACTTACTCTGCGTGAGCGGGCGCTGGCGCAAGCAGTTATGCCCAAGCGGTCTGCACTGGGACAAGCGCAGCAACAGATGCGACTGGGTCGACTTCGCTATGTGTGAAGGTACATAAAATAATCAATATATGTATTTCCGCTTGATGTCCATCTCTTCCATTTTCGGTTGTGTAAAAAAGCTACTTAGTTAATGAGAGTTAACTTGAACCTAGAATGGGAACATAGTTAGATACTGTTTATACTTATTTCAGCATCTAAACCAGTATCGGCAACAACTACAACTACAAGAAAACCAGTATACCAGATCACATCAACTACCATGAAAACAACAACAACTAGACGGCCAACAACAACAACGAAGAAACCATTCATTTTATCAGAGGAATATCAAAAACCAACGGTAAAGGTTTAAAACTTTATGAAATGCCTGGAATGCAATAAAACATTGATTGTTCTGTTTATTGATCATAACATAATATTTTTGTTGACAGCGTTGTGTGACCGGGACATACCACACGCATCCGCGCTGCGAGAAATTCTATGTATGCGTGAACGGCGTGCTGGTGACACAGAACTGCGCTCCCGGCCTCGTTTGGAGCCAGGAGCGGTCACAGTGCGACTTCCCCTCCGCTAGCTCCTGCTCCGACCGGCGCAAGGTCACATCCGCCGCTATGGTCGATGCACCCAAGCTGACGACTTCGAACGGTCTGCCCGACACAGATCTCATAGACGATAAACCAAGTAAGAAAAAAAAATATACTTAACTTGGTAGCTTAGTTATTATGATCTTACTCATGCGTTTATCATAGTTCCTATTCTTCAGAAAAAGTAGCGGATTTTTTAGCTAAACATATTTGTTATGTTTAAGAATACACAAATTAGTCATTGTTTGAATACAAATTGTGTTTTAGAATATTGCGAGAGTGGTCAATACGACAAGGATCCTAATGACTGCACTAAATACCGTCACTGTCTGTTTGGCCAATTTGAAGAATTCGCTTGCAGTGCTGGCTTGCATTGGAATCAGGTGAGCATAACTTTTACAAAAATTTTAAATATCAAAATAACCACAAATTATTGAAATATCTTTGTTCTTTAACAGGAAAAACTAATATGCGACTGGCCACGAAGCGCGAAATGCAAGAAACGCAAAGTCCCCACTACAACGACAACAACAACCACAACCACAGAAACACATCTCATGGACCCGGTTGAAGTGGACGCTGAAGTCAAACCTGAAGTTCCGATGAAACCAATTGAATCTTCACCCACCACGGTTGCACTTATAGATCCTTCTTCTAGACCAGCTTTACTTAATTGTAAGAAAATGTATCTTTTAGACCAATTTGATTTTGCAACCATTTTTTCTTTATACTTTAAAATACTAATGATATTAAATGATTTCCAGCACGTTATAAACTTATTTGTTACTATACAAATTGGTCGTGGTACCGTCCTGGACTTGGAAAGTACGGCCCAGAAGATATCGACCCAAGTCTTTGCACACACATTGTTTTCGGATTCGCCGTTTTGGGGCCTGATGGACTTATGACTCCTCACGATCCTTGGGCAGATCAAGAAAATCGTAAGTTTGCCTATACACGAAAATACATTTTTTATTATGTAAATTGTGTTCTAATATGTCATTAATTTCTAGGTTTGTACGAAAAAGTGGTTGAATACAAGAAGTACGGAATAAAGGTATCCTTAGCTATTGGTGGATGGAACGATTCCGTCGGAGACAAGTATTCTAAATTAGTTAATGACCCTGAAGCCCGAGTAAGGTTCGTGAGCCATGCTGTAGAATTCTTAGAGAGATACGGTTTCGATGGACTCGATTTAGACTGGGAATACCCGAAATGTTGGCAGGTAAGTTTCACAATGTTAACGATCAAGATGAATAATATATCTATTATCTCAAATAGTTATTTTGAACAAGTTAACGATATCAAATTCACTTTGTTTTCTTTTAGGTTGATTGTTCGATGGGACCTGATTCTGATAAGGAGGGCTTCGCTGACTTGGTCCGTGAATTATCTGCAGTGTTTAAGCCTAAAGGATTGTTGCTGTCCTCTGCTGTTTCACCGAGTAAGAGAGTGATAGACGAGGCGTACGACGTGCCGATCCTTGCGAGACACCTTGACTGGATCGCCGTGATGACGTATGACTACCACGGCCAGTGGGACAAGAAGACTGGCCATGTTGCCCCCTTGTTCTATCATCCTGATGATGATAACACTTATTTCAATGCGGTTCGTATTTACTTTGTCAAGTTTCGCTCTGTTTCTCTCTCTCACTCTAACTCTGTATCGTTTCCTCATTCCTGAGGATTGCGAGCTTTCTCTTTGATTGTTTGTCAATTTTCTACTTAATCAATATTATAACAATACGGCTCTTACAGAACTACACAATGCACTATTGGATGGAGAAAGGAGCACCGTCATCCAAGCTGGTGATGGGCATACCTACATACGGACAGTCGTTCACGACGTTATCTTCCTATGATATTAATTCCTTGAACGTACCTGCGATGTATGGCGGGGATGCTGGCGAATATACTAGGGCTAAAGGATTCTTAGCGTATTACGAGGTTTGTTTCTTTAGTTTGGTCCACGTTGATGTTAGGGTAAACTTATTAGTTGATAACTACTTTTCGTGTTAAGTTTTCAATTTTCAGATCTTTGAAATTTTTTTGCTAAAATTTGCTTTAAGATTCTTGTTCAAATCTTTTATTTTTTCTATTCGTGACAGATTTGTGAGCGTATTAACGATAGAAGATGGAAGGTTGTTAAGGACCCTCTTCAACGAATGGGTCCATTTGCATACAAAGGCAACCAGTGGGTGTCTTTCGATGACGTCGACATTATAAAGAGTAAAACTAACTTTATAAAATCATTGAACTTGGGCGGTGGTATGGTATGGGCGCTGGATCTCGATGACTTCAAAAACAGGTACAAGTAATTTCAAAATTGTTTGATGTTGTATTAAAATGGTCTTACTTATAGAATTTACCTAGTTTAATTTATTGATATCAACCTAAATTAAGCTTCAAATAAACAATCTTCAATTGGCAGATGTCGACAAGGCAGACACCCGCTTATCAATGCTATAAAGAACGGTCTGCTCGACCCCAGCGTGGACTATGAACATGTACAACCTATAACTGAAACATCTAATCAAATAGACGAAGACTTAGAGGACATCGAAGTGAGACCTTCGTACACGAGACCTAAACCAACTACAACTACGAAGAAACCAATAAGACAAACTACACCTTACACAACTTCAACCACTCCTACTACCACTCCCACTACCACTAAAGCTACCACTACAACTAAAACTACAACTACCACTACCACTACCACTACCACCACCATGAAACCAACACCATCTGTCATTATGGATGAAGAGGAGCAATACAAAGTTGTATGTTACTTCACAAACTGGGCTTGGTACAGGTTAGTTGTTTTTCAAAACAAAATTCAATTTGTAACAGTCATTACAGACAAATTTTTGATGAATTCTTAATTTTCAGAACGGGAACAGGAAAATTCACACCAGGTGATATTGACCCGTCTCTTTGCACGCACATTATATACGCGTTTGCAATCCTTGATAACGACAAATTGGAGATCAAACCTCACGACAATTGGTTGGACGTTGAAAATAGTAAGTATTGCGAAAACTATCGCTTTCTATTGTAAAACCTTAACAGGTATTTTTAAAAAATGTATCTAATTACAGAATTCTTCGAGAAAGTTGTCGGCTTGAAACACGATGGTGTGAAAGTTTTACTTGGTCTCGGCGGCTGGAAAGACTCTGCTGGAAATAAATACTCACGTCTCGTAAACAGCCCTACAGCTCGAAGGAAGTTCGTACTTCATACACTTGATTTCTTAGACGAGTATAACTTTGACGGCTTAGATATAGACTGGAATTATCCAAAATGTTGGCAAGTAAGTGTAGCCTCTTCTTTGTTTACATTGTTTTTTTTTACAATTGTATTTAATTTATGAATTGCGATAACTTTAGCATTTTATTTATTGCAATTTTATTTCCATATTCTCTCTTAAAAACAAACTTAACCGTGCTCCCACTGATGTAAAAAATTTCCCAGGTAAATTGTGACAAAGGGCCAAGCTCTGACAAAGAAGGATTCGCACGTCTAATCACTGAACTACGTTCAGCATTCGTTCCTCGCGGCCTGCTGCTGTCTGCGGCGGTCTCAGGCGGCAAGAATGTTATTGACGCTGGTACGTATTACTAGTCACAATTACCAGCTTTTACACATATTGTGATAGTCGGATTCTCTCCGTTTCCTCGACTTTTATATTTCAAACGTACTTTTATTTATTTACAGCATACGACATCCCCGTTTTGGCCAAACAATTGGATTGGATATCTCTTATGACGTATGATTACCACGGCCAATGGGATAAAAAGACAGGACATATGGCCCCTATGTATTCTGGAAGTGACGACAATTGCGATGATATTAACAGTGTGGTACGTTCTCTCCCATGCCTTGTTACAAAAAAATGGAAGGATTTGTTTAAAATAGTCATTTTTTTCTTCCAGAACTTTACAGTAACTTACTGGATTAAGGGTGGTGCTCCAAGAGAAAAACTAGTGATGGGCTTACCGTTCTACGGCCAATCATTCTCATTATTGGAAAATGAAAACAACAGATTGGGAGCACCGACTTACGCCGGAGGAGATCCAGGGGAAGAAACTAGAGCAAGAGGTTTCTTAGCCTTCTACGAGGTAATTATTAAACAATTAACCTTGCACCTCAAACCCCAATAACAAGCGAATGTTTCACTACAGAAACGTAAAACAAAACCTAAATTCTTATTATTTATTACAGATTTGCGAACGTATAAGAGCACGAGGTTGGGACGTGATCAGAGACCCGGCCGGGAGAATGGGTCCATACGCCACTTTCAATGATCAGTGGGTATCATTCGACGACGATTACATGATACGTCATAAAGCGGAGTACATAAGAGCTATGGGTCTGGGTGGATCTATGGTTTGGACTCTCGATCTTGACGATTTCACTGGATATTATTGCGGTTGTGGAAAATCTCCGCTACTGGCTACAGTCAACCATGTTCTTCGCGGCAAAGACCCGCCTCCGGATTGTCAATTAGAAGAAAGTAAATATCCCACTCTTATTTAATAATATAATGATAAATTTAAAATCTTTTGAAAATGATTTAATTATTTATTATTTGATAGTAATTTAATTTGAATAATTTCAGTTGAGGCCCAAACAACAACATCAACAACAACAACAACGCCCACAACACAAGCAACTGAGCTCATACCAGTGCCTGATACAGAAACTGAAATAGAATCTGTCGACAACGTAAGTACTTTATATTTAATAATATTATAAACTTGCTTTCACCTGACTCAGTCCGCGTGAAATTAAAAAAAAATCAAAAGTGATTATGTGTTCTTCCAGACTATCCTCTACTTCTATGCCAAATTTCATCAAGATCAGTTCAGCCGTTTAACTACAAGCTGACAAACATCCATCCATCTAAACTTTCGCATTTATAATATTCGTAAGATAGTACGAAGCCAAGATTGTACAAAGACCATGTAACGTGGTAACCGAACGAAATTCTGATAATGACTATCATCATCTTCTTTTATCATATACTTATGTTTGTTGTAATCATTTTAGGAACAAGGATACGAAGGGAAAGCGTGCACAGGAATAACATTTAAGGCAGACGAACATGACTGCAGCAAGTACTATCTTTGTCTGAACGGTGTATACGTAGACCTTACCTGCCCTCCACCACTCGTATGGAATAAGGTAATATTGAAATAAAAAATACGATCTTTATTATCTCTGCATCAAACAATTTGCAATAACCTCATTTACTTCTTTGAAATTAATATCTAGATATTAAAACATATCGTTTATTTTATTAGAACCACTGTGACTGGCCAGCAAAGGCTAGATGTAATGGGAAAGCATCGCTCAAGATAACAGAAGACCAAGAAGAAAAACCAATAATCGCCTGCTACTTCACTAACTGGGCATATTACCGGTACGAAATATAATATGTAATTATGCAAATAACTTTAATAATAATAGCGTAATATTAATAAATATACTTATAGAATTTCTAATAATCGTTTTTATGTGCTTCTACAAAATGTATTCAGTATATTTGTAATTAAAATAAATATGAATTAATACGATACAAAAAATAACTCGATGAATACAAAAAAATTATATGCTTCAGTGTGCGTTTAGTGTTTTAAATGGCAAAATATGTTGCCTTTTATTTTACTTTAAATGCTTATGAGCTATTTTTTTTCAGACCCGGCAAAGGTAAATTCGGTCCGGAGCAAGTAGATGGATCGTTGTGCACTCATATAATATACTCGTGGGCACATCTCAGCAACACCTCGCAGATCGTACCCGGCGTACCTGAACTCGATGTAGACAATGGTAAGACAATTATTATATTTACACTAAGTGAAGCACTTAGTGACTGCCTATCGACTGAATGCGGCAGGCAGTATTCGGCAAAATGTACGAACATTGCGAATTTGCCGTTTACATTTCATTATTAAATTTCGATTAAAACTTGTACCATTGTGTCCTCCTCTTGACATGTCTCTTCACTATCGAAGGGTGATAGTCGCGAGTTTATTCAAATTGTTTTAAAATTATCTTTTAGATTTCCTCGGTAAAATATCGGAATTAAGATTGGATGGAGTTAAAGTTATTCTGGGCGTTGGTGGGTTACATAACTCGAGAGTATCCAATTGGAGCGAAATGGTATCGACCAAGGAGAAGAGAACGTTGTTCATAGAATCAGCGCTCAAACTTATCAAAAAATGGAACTTTGATGGGTTGCAAATCGCCTGGCAGTACCCAGTTTGTGGTCAGGTAAAAATATACTTTTAATATGCAATAAGCTTACACTAAAATTATCTATTAGTTATGTTTTATAACTCTAGTCAAATAATTATGGTTAGGTACATACGTCGTAATCATAAAATATGATAATTGACAAATTAGCACATTATTGTTAAAGTCAAAGGTTATTTCTTCTTTTTTTGTTAATAAAAAATATACAATGATTTATGAAAAGAAAATTATTAATAAATTATCATCTAACACATTAAAAATGTCGAAACTGGACAATGACAAAGTTGTGAATTTAATATTTTGTCAATTTCTTAATTTATACTGAGGATTAACTTATGGTATATTATTAGCTATTTCATTGCTAATTAACTGATATATTATTCTGAAGCTGAAAGCATCTTTTAGGAAATCTAAAAAGTATTTTACGTAATTTGTATGTTGAATTTATCTCTATGTATTGTTGCAGGAATTTTGTTCTGAGATAGATTACGAGAATGAAGAAAAGTGCAACTTCAACGCTTTACTGACTGAGTTGTCGAAATCATTGCGTCAATATAACTTAGAATTTTCCGCTGTGGTGTCTCCGAACCCTAAAGTAGCGGCAGTGGCGTATGACCCTGAAGTGTTGACGGCGACCCTCGACTGGATTGCCATCGCCGCCAACGACTACTATTGGTCCACGAACTCACGCACGGAATATCTCTTACCTTTGCAGTCCTCGGCACCGTCGGAAGTTTGCGACTACGTAAGCAAGTTTAATTAAAAAAAAGTTGTTGCTCTAAAATTATTCGGATTTATTACATGATTCGTATTCTCTGGGGTGTTATTGTGATTACTTATTTTCAGAAAACACTATTGACATACTGGTCGAGCGTGGTGCCTCCGCGCCAGCTAGTGATGAGCGTGCCGGCGTATGGGCGCTCGTACACGCTGCGCAGCGAGCTGTTCGTGCACCCGGGCGCCCCCACCGCGGGCGCGGGAGACGCCGGCAACTACACACAAGTGCCCGGCTTTATGGCCTATTACGAGGTTAGTCTTAGTTACACTTATACGGACGTCGACGAAGCCGCGACCGTCCCATTTGAGATTTTGCATACAATGTTTTTGGAAAAGGTGTCTTATATGGAAAAACAAAATTAAAACTGATTAGTCTATGCAGAAGAAGGGCCAGAGAGACAAAGCAAAGAATGTTAAAGACGAAAGAAAGTACATTTCAAGGTTTTTTTTTATTTTTTTATATATTTTTACAGATATGTAATGGACTAAAAACGCAAGCTTGGGAAGAGCTGCCAACAGAGGAGGGAATGAGCATAGTGCACGGCTCACAATGGGTGACATTCCTTCGACCGCAAGAAGTATTCAAGATTATTTCTACTTCATCCAAAATGGGTATCCGCGGCGCCGCACTATGGGCCCTCGACCTGGACGACTGGCGCAGCGAGTGCTCGTGTGAGCCCTGGCCTCTCCTCACCGCCTTGAGACAAGGAGTCTACGAGCCCAACATTGCACCAACATTATGCTAAGTTTTAGGCTAAGTTAGATTTAAGAATAATGCATTATACACATACTTCTGTCACATAAGATGCGTACTGACTAGTAATTTTAATTGACCCTCGCAACAATAGGGGAAAAATGGATGACATCGAACTTATTTGTCGTATGGCAAATCTAGACAAAAAGTAAGAATTTCATAATCGATGTATTTTTCGAAGTCAAAAATACATTTACAATAATAACTGCGAGATATCGTTACATAAGTTTACTGAAGTTTTTTAAAAATGCTAAATTATTAAAAAAAGTCAAACTCCCTTGTTGAAAAAGGTCTAAGTAAGGAAAGTCTTTCGATACTCAACTTTACTTTAAGTAAGTTATAAGTTATATCTTATAAGAACGCACTGTAAATTTCTAGTTTAAGATTTTGTGAGGTTCTTACACGTATTGTGATATTTTGTACATTAAATTCTAATTAATAAATATACAGATATATTGCCAAAAAAGTTACATTTCCAAAATACGAATTGTATAATTGCAAGGGCAGAACCAGCTTTGGCGCCAGGGGGGTCACATAGTCGAGGTCAAGTCAAGAGCTTGACAAAATATGTAAATATATTTTGTCAAGCTCCAGTTCAGGGGGGATTCCCTGGATCCGCCGTTGTATAATTGTCTATGTTATCTGGATATATATCAAATGTAAAATATATTTATTTCTTGTAGTCAACAAACCGTTGTGCAATCTTAATATTATTTATGTATTAATGTTATAATATTTAAACTGTCATAATATAAATGTTTTTTGTATAATATAATACAAAATATTTTTGTAATACATTAATCGTATCTGAGATAACAGGTACACATATAATTTACTTGAAAAAAGGTAACAAGGTACCTCCAATGCCATAAATAGAAGTTAAAAAGAACAAAAATAGTTACGAAAGACACAAAATAAAACAAATAATAATAATTTGTAGTTTTTTACTCTTCTCATTCTTTTTAATAAATCTTACTTCTCAATAATTATATATGCGAAAGTTTAGATGGATGAAAGTCTGTTAGAATTTACCTCAACAACGACTTCACGGATCTCGATAGAATTTGTCATAGGTAGATGTAGAACATACACATAGATGTAGGATACTAATTAAGTTTTATTTAAGTCCCTACGGATTGAATAGCTTCATAAATGGACTAGCTGTTGCCCACGACTTTATCCCAGCAGTATTAAAAACTTACAAAGAGTGAAAAATAAAAAACCTCATGTCCCTCGTGAACCTGACATTTTTAGGGGATGAAATTTTAATAAGTTGAACCGTTGAGAAATTTTCCAATCAACATGAAAAATGAGAATTAATGTGTTCCAAAGAAACCGTAACTATTTCTGGGACTAAAAGTAGCATCTATGTTCTTCTAGACTCTACATTTACGAGTACGGTAAATATCAAAGTAATCCGTTAAACTTTTGGCTGCAAACTCTTAACAAACATCCAACCATCTAAACTGCATTTATAATATTAGTACGAGTAACATTGCCAAGCATGTTTCTCTTGTTAGCGGCCTTTACAATAGTTATCTCCATCAAAAGGTGCTGGGTAAACCGAACACATTTTTAGATTTTAAAGATCTTTAATTTTTTTATAATATAAGGCGGCAAACGAGCAAGCGACTACCTGAATCCACCAAAATGGAACGCGACCGCTAACCATAAACATCCGCAATTTCAGATGCGTTGCCTACCCTTATTTGACGGAGGAGGAGACGCACA